TTAAACCATACATTGAAACTATGTAAAACATTTCAATGCGAAAACAAATGCGATCATAATCGCAACCAAGGTAACAATTGATCCAACGGCATAATGATACCAAGCCTTAGTATGAATGGCATATTTTCTAATCTTTCTAATCTTTAAGCGCATTGCATCCATATTGATCTTGTGATCATCGACGACATCCGCAACATGCAACTCCAATATCATCTTCTCCTCCTCAATTTTTTTTATTTTTTCCTTCAACAAATTGTCTTCTTGTTCAACTAAATTTAACCTCTCGACAATAGGGTCGGTTGGCATTTCCGATTCACATACATCCTAGATAAATAAAATCTATGTCACGTTGGTCGGCATAATTTTCATAAACAATAAATGAACCAATAGTTATAAAGATAATATACATACCACATCCGAATCATAGACAGGACGAGGGCCGACGGGGGCGGATACCAAAACCATCGCACTATATAAGATGCAATAATAAATGTAAGAAAATGATACAAGTATCTATCTAAACATACAAGTAAGAATATTTTTCCTTTCAGAAAGAAGATAAGAACAAGAGGCTCACCACGGTGGTGTCAGTGATGAGATCGGCGCGGGTGATCGACGATGGTGAAGACGGGAACGGGGCGTGACGGACCGCTAAATCTAGACAAATCTCGAGGAAAATGGAGTTTGGAGGTCGAGCTTCGAGAGGAGAAAGCTTAAGTAGTGTGGCTCGGGCATTTCATCGAACACCTCATGTACATAGGAGGTGAGCTAGAGCACCACAAAGCCCTCTCCCCCTCGGCCAGAGAAAAACAGAGCACTGGGGTGCTCTGCTCGCGAGCGAGGGGTATATATAGGCACCTCATTGGTCCCGGTTGGTGACATGTGCCGGGACTAAAGGGGAGCCTTTAGTCCCGGTTCAAGCCACCAACCGGGACCAATGGTGGTGGGCCAGGAGCGAGGCCCATTGGTCCCGGTTCATCCCACCAACCGGGACCAAAAGGTCCAGATGAACCGGGACCAATGGCCCACGTGGCCCGGCCGGCCCCCTGGGCTCACGAACAGGGACCAATGTCCACATTGGTCCCGGTTCTGGACTGAACCGGGACTAATGGGCTGACCCGGCCTAGACCAAAGCCCTGTTTTCTAGTAGTGCCATTACGGAAAAGAATTCTATGAGACCAGGTCTCATGCGAGACCCATCCTGATGAATGACACGTGACATTCACAAATCACAAAGCATCCTCCACCCCCACTTAAAATCAGGGGGGAGAGAGATTAGATGCTGTGTGATTTATGAATGCCACGTGTCATCCATCAGGACAGGTCTTACCTGTTAACCGTGAGACCTGGTCTCATATAATTTTTTCCCATTACGACCAGCCTAAGCATCATTTGATGTTAATAAATGAAGCCTTCCAGGCGCTCTTATATATTTTTAGGAAGAAAGTCTACTTTGTTGAAAAAGAATTACAATTCCTAATTGGGAACAGTAAAGGCATCTCCAACGGTGAGCCCTTATGTGGGCGCTTAAAATCAGCATGCACAAGTGTCGGTTGCTAGGATTTATACTTTACACTTCTTTTTTAAGCGCCCAACTCCTCTCTAAGAGCATCTTCAATATGCGCACAAAAACTGCTTCGCGTGCTAAAATTCGGATTTTTTGAGCACCAGACAGCTCCAGCAGAAGCTATAAAATAGTGTACGCACAAAAATTTTTTGGTCACGCGCTAAAAAGAGCTATCAAAGCTGCAAATCTGAGACGCCAGATTACGCGCGCTTCACAATTTACACTGCATGTTTTTTTGGGGCACGTTTTTGGACATCTGGAAACTAATGTTGGGTCCGGCGCTCTAAAAGCGCTACAGTGATGCGCTAAAGCTATTTCTTTTTTTGTTTGTCGCAGACGGCCTCTTAGTGTTGCTTCAGAAGGAGATCAATAACAACTGGATTGAGCCTCTAGGGATATGTCGTCGAGCCCCTGGTATCTTACATATGTTATTTGCAGATGACACGATGTTATTCTTCAAAGCAGAAATTTAGCAAGCTCAGAGGGTACAACATGTAATCAATACATACGCACAGGGTACCGGCCAGCTGGTAAATGTCGATAAATGCTCTCTGATGTTCGGTAAGACTTGCTAGGCTAGTGTCCCCGTGGGTAACGTTGGCCCATTCTTCACGGACATTGTTTTCAGCATGCATTCAGAAATAATATCTTCTTCTTGAAAGTTTCCACAGATTGTGACACATCTCAGAAAAACATTCTATGCATTCTATTTTTATGAATGTGATTTAAATATAATGATTTTTAAAATGTAGTCATGTATAGCAATAATGGCCCACCCCAATTATCCTTCATATGCATGGGCGACAGGGCCAGCCCAATTATCCCTTCATGGCGTGACTATACATATCATCGTCTGACGCGACATGGAGCAACCACCCACTCGGGTCAGGTAGTCACAAAATGGGCCGGCCCAGGTAGGTACAAGGTAAATTCGTCCTTCTCATGTCTTCCATTGTTGGTTTCTTTTGTTTCATTCTTATTTGAGAAAATATTGTAAAAAAACGGTTGTTTGCTTAATTAATAAAAAATGTTGATAGCATATTAAAAAATAGTTGTAACATTTTAAAAATGTTCACTTGTTTCTAAAATTGTATATTTCATTATTAAAAGGTAATCATATATCTGAAAAAGTGTTAACCATATATAAAATAATGTTTCAAATGTATATGAAAACTGGTGGTAGTATACTGAAAAAACTTGTGACACCTTAAAAATGTTCATGTGTTCCAAAAAATGTGCGAGACATTATAAAAAAGTTCATCATATATTTTTAGAAAAATGTTAAACATATTAAATAATCAATATTTCAAATGTATCCGAAAATGTTTGTAGCATACAAAAAAAATTATTTTTGACATTTAGAAAAAATGAAAAAGTGTTTCAGAAAAATGTGAGTGGCATTATAAATATGTTCATCGTGTATTTGGAGAAATGTTAAACATATATCAAATAAATGTTTCAAATGTATATGTAAAATTTACAATGTTTATGAAGACATCAAACATGTATTTGAAATAAATGCTAATCATTGTATTTAAAAAATCTAATCACATAAAAAAATGTTAAACTTGCTTAGAAAATGTTCTTGATGTAGACAAAGAATCTAGACGTCAAAAACATTTGTTTTAATATTTTTGATCATGTATTTTAGAAATATTTAACATGTACAAAAAATGTATCACATGTATATGAGAAATGTGCGTAGAAAACGGAGGAAAAATGAAAGAACACATAGATAAAAAGTCAATCAAAAAGGTTCTAAAACCAATGAATACCATAAAAATAAGGAATCCAAATAAAACCAATGAAAAGGAAAAAAGAAATAAAGAAAAAAATCAACAGAAAATGGAAGATAGAAACAAATAAAACTGGAGAAAAACAAAGGAACAATAAATAAAAAACTAGTAAAAATCAAGAAAAAAATAAAGAAAGAGAAGAAAAACACTAAAAACCAAGAAAAATCAAAAACCGAAGTTATATCAAATAATAATAAAATCCAAAGAATACAGGTTAAAGAACTAAAAATCAAAGGAAAAACACAGGACAAAAAAGAGAAAAAAGAGAAAAAGGAGAAAGCCGGAGCAGGAGCGAACATACAACGAGCAAATTAGGGTAAGCGAGTAACTGTGTTAATGGGCCTGCCCTCTGGAGATGCACCTTAGGCGAGAGCTCGTTCCATGTCGCTGTAAGCAAGATATAAGTCTCGCAATAGGGAGCTAGGCGCCCCGAACATGCTGGCGCACGCATGGAACTCTGGATGCTGCTTGCTCGCGTCATATATTTTTCTCGCTCGTTCGCCTCGCCTCGCCTGACCTCGTGCCGCCTCACTCGCTTGACTGATAAGCTCGCTCCTACTGATTCAAGGAGAAAACTAACAACTACCGGTTCAGGGAAAACTGACTTCCACTTTTTTATATGGATAAAAATATCTTACATTAAAAATGTTTATAGATTTTAAAAATAAGAATTTGCGAAAAAAATCATGGATTAAGAATCTTAAACAAATTAAAATCACTCCCTAGTTTTATTTTTTGATAGTCAGGAAAATCCCTAGGAGGCTTGCCATTTTACACAACTAAACAGAGTTGAACTGAGCATAACTCAGATGGTTAGATTTCTTGTGGTGAAACCAGCCCACAAGGGTTCAAGTTCTAAACTTGACACCGGTGCTCGAGTTTTTCTGTATTTATTTCAGAATTTCCGACGATGTTCGTTCAGTGGGAGAAGACTTTTTCATCGACTACGAGACGCATGTGATGATTTCTCAAGATGTGGTGTTGGTTCAGTAACCCAGAGGTGCTTATAGGGGTAGGGTGTGCGTGTTTTCGCATGAATTGTCTAGCTCCATGAAAAAGCATCACAAAAACTTGCTCCCTCCGTTTCTTTTTAGTCTGCATATAAGATTTGATCAAAGTCAAATTTTGTTAACTTTGACTAAGTTTATATAAAAAAATATCAAGATTCACAATATGAAATCAATATTGTTAGATGCACCATGAAATTAATTTTCATACCATATAGATTTACTATTGTAGATGTTGGTATTTTGTTTTATAAAGTTGGTCAAACTTTATGAAGTTTGGCTTTGACTAAATCTTATATGCAGACTAAAATGAAACGGAGAGAGTACCTTATTTTCTTGGAAAACAGAAACTTACCTTTGAAGTAAAGGTCTGCTTGTTTCACCTAACTCGATCATACGCTGGCAGCTGGCTATCCAACTCATTTGTCTTGGTCTCCAATCAATGCGTGCTTTTGCCTTTTGATAAGCATGTTTTCCTCTTCAATGCCAGTAAAAAGCGAGGCAAAAAATAGGGGAAGCACGTACGAACCGGTCGATCCATGGATATTCGTAGATAGATAACGTTCAGATTCAGACAAGAACTGTACATTGCATCTGCGGGGACTCTATGCTAGCTACAGCTTGACACATTTACGCCTCCATTTCCAGTGGCGCGAAGCCACGCGCATGCACGTCGCTGCCGCCGTCACGCGGCACCCCGCACTTGCGCGCCTCTAGGTCATGCTCCTCCTCCTCCTCGCCGGCTTTCGGGAGGAGCCGCGCGTATGCTTGGTCGGCGGGGTATCTGCTGCACACGTAGAGGTAGACCGTGAGGACGAACACGGTGATGAAGGACAGGTACCACCCGAACTGCAGGTTCACGAGCGCCCTGGCGCGGTGAAGGCTGGCCTTGCTATGGCAGCGCACCGTGTCGCGGCCGTCCTCGCGCACCAGCGAGCACCCCTTGGGCACCATGCTCGGCACCCACACCATGGCGCCGATGACCGCCAGCCACACCCCGTGGAACATGATGCACGCCGACCGGGCCAGGCTCACCGCGAAGCTCCGCGGGAAGCCGACGCCGAGGAGCGAGGTGCCGAGGCAGGCGGCGACGACCACCTGCAGGATCCAGTGGAACTGGCCCTCCACGCCGGCGTGGTCGGTGGAGTGGAAGTGGAAGACGAGGAGCTCCTGCGCGAACACCACGGACACGAGGAGCAGGCAGAGCGCGCGGCGCCCCGGAGCCCGGGCGCGGTCCAGGTGGACGGCGGCGCCCGCGTAGACGACGAGCGCCAGGCAGATGATGGCGTGCTCGTGGTTGTGGAGCCGGTCCGACGGGATGGAGCCGTCGGCGTCGAACGGCAGGAAGGTGGAGTGGTCCACGAACATCTCCATGACGAACTCGAGGGCGCTGCCGGCGATGACGAGGGCGGGCTCGAGGTAGCGCGCGCGCGGCACGGGGAACCAGACCGGCGCGACGTAGGAGTCCGGGCGCTGGGAGAAGAGCCTAATGTGGTTGAACAGGTGCCACAGGCCGACGGCGAAGAAGCCGGCGCCGGGCAGGATGTGGCCGATGCTGCTCCGCGGCGTGCCGCCCATGGCCGGCGGTCTTACCTGCAACGTAGCTGCAAGTTGGACCGATTAACTGTTTGAGTAGTGCGGTCGGAACATTGGTCAGCTATATAAAAGGTGGCAGTTTGTATGAAGTGTCAGCAGGGTTGGTCGTGTTGATGGCCGGAGGGAGCTCGTCCTTGAGTAAGTGATAAACATGCAAAGGAGTTGCTTGTAAGTCAGCACCAGTGTGCTTCACTCTCCTGTTCATGTGGCAAGTTAGACCTCCGTTACTGTTTCCACAAAAAAAGATGACCAAATATGTCTTCTAAGAAAAGGTTGCATGCCAATTGCAATATTGTACTCCCTCCATTCCAGAATAAATGACCTAATTTTGTACCAACTTTAATACAAAGTTAGTACAAAGTTGAGTCATCTATTTTGGAACAGAGAGAGTACTTTTATTTTTGCACCAGACCTAACATAGCCACGTCGATTGGGAAATTTTGAGGCAACGCTTTGAGAGTAGATTTCCACGTGAATATGTTGAGACTATGGTAGAACACACTTGAAAAATGGAGAATCTCTACTGTTAGCAGTCTACCCGTAGTCTCAGCAGCCTAACTGCAGCTGACCGAGTTGTGCACTTCCTGCACGATCTCCACTCTCTTGCGCACCTCGTGCCCCTGTACAGCGCGCTCCGACGCCCCTGTTGTAACTCCATATATTGATGATCAACACGTAGTCAGCACCCAAGGTGCATTGGCTTCTCTTTCCACTTGTCTACATGGTATCAGACGCTGGCATCGTCCTACGCCTGTAACTCTCTCCGCTGCCACTCTTCCTCAAAGAATGCGTGGATCGCCTGACAGACCTCGGTGAGCTCGTCACCAATCGGGACCAGGTTCTGAACATGTTTCGTGGCCTGCATCCCCGTCTTCGCTACGCCATACCTATATTGACGATGCAGACCCCTTTCCCGACGTTCCTCCGCTGTCGTGCCTTCCTCCTCCTTGAGGAGAGCCGCCAGGCACTGGAGAGCTCCACCGACATGGTGCTTCATGCCGCCCGCGCTCCCTCCGGCTCCAACTCCGGCGGGGCTCACAACTCCGGCGGGGCGCCCTCTCATGGTGGCGGAAGCAACCGCCGCAACGATGGAGGGGGTGGCCGCGGCAAGGGCAAGGCCGTTGACCACTCTGGCGGTGCGTCATCCTCGCGCTCCCCTACTCCGTCCCCACCTTGGACAGGCATGGTGCACGCCTGGCCCATGCCCTGGCGCCCGCACGCTCCTGGCGCCGGTGTGCTCGGACCGCGCCCTGACGCTCCCGCACCGTTCGCGGGCCTCGCCTCGCACCACGGCATCCTACCTGCGATCCCGCCCGGCGCCCCGCCCACAGTCTGGACACCCGGAGTCGTGCCCCCCACCCGCTGTACGGCGCACCAGCAACGAGCGCTCCGCCCACCGCTCCCGCATGGAATCAGGCGGCCCTTGTGCAGGCGCTCAATGCCCTCGGAGTGCAGCAGCAGCACACTGCTGCTCCGTGTGCGGACTGGTACCTTGACACGGGTGCAACCTCGCACATGGCGTCCACGTCAGGTATGCTCTCTTCGTCTCATCCCTGCATTCTTCAGGCATTGTGTTCGGCAATGGTTCATCGCTTGCGGTCACGCACACGGGTCATGCCTTCCTCCCCACCACCGGTTCCCCCTTCTCTCTAAACAACGTCCTTGTTTCTCCTCACCTAATCAAAAACCTCATCTTTGTTAAGAAACTTGCTCACGACAACCCTGTTAACGTTGAGTTTGATGATATTGGTTTTTTTGTCAAGGATCGAAGGACGAATAGGGTGATCCTCCGATGTAATGACCCTGACGATGACCTCTACCCTGTGTCCCTGCCCGCACCACACCAAGCACTTACTGCCGCCTCCACCGATCTGTGGCACCATCGCCTGGGGCACCCGCACCACGACGCTCTTCGGCTTGCACTCCGGCACTCCTCTGAAGCAGCTCACGGCATCCACATCTATCTGTCATGCTTGTCAATTAGGAAAAAGCACTCGTCTACCGTTTAGTTCCTCTGAACACTTGTCGTATTTCCCTTTTTCAGTTAGTGGATTGTGATGCCTAGACCTCCCCTGTAACTAGTAATTCTGGTTTGTAGTACTATCTAGTTGTGCTTGATGATTACATCCATTTTGTGTGGACTTTTCCTCTACGTCACAATCTGAAGTGTTGCCCACGCTCCAAAAATTCCAAGCCCTAGTGCGTGCTCACTTCCAGCTAGACATCCTCACTATCCAAACTAACAATGGTCGGGAATTCGATAACCACCCAGCGCGTGCGTTCCTCTCCACGCATGGCATCCTCCTTCATATGTCTTGTTCGTATACTCCCCCCTAGAATGGACTAGTAGAGCGCATCCTTAGAACCCTTAATGACATAGTTCGCACCATCCTAATACATGCCAACATGCCGTTCACATACTGGGACGAGGCGCTGAACACAGCCACGTTCTTGCTTAATCGCCGTCCATGTCGTGCATGCCAGTCTCACACCCCTTTCTACCTGCTTTTCGGTGTCCATCCCGATTACTCATCCATGCGTGTGTTCGGATGCCTCTGTTACCCAAACCTCTCTGCCATTGCCGCCCACAAGCTTGCCCCTCGATCTGCCCCTTGTGTATTCCTTGGGTACTCGCCGGATCACAAGGGGTATCGATGCCTAAACCAAGCCACCAATTGAGTCATCACCTCGCGTCATGTCGTGTTCGACGAGACCCAATTCCCCTTCCGTCCCACCGTGACCGCGCCGCCCAACACTCCGGATGATGAGCAGCCGACACCTCCCTTCCCGCACCTCATCCCATGGTGCGCCCCCACGGCACGGCCCGCGCAGGACCCGACTCCGCGCCTAACCCTCACTGATCACGCTGCCGAGGTAGCCAGCTCGGGCGCTGCGGCCACTCCACCTGCTACCATGGCGACAACACCTACATGCGATAACACTGTCAATGTAGCCATGATGACCCACAAGTATAGGGGATCAACCTAGTCCTTTCGATAAGTAAGAGCGTCGAACCCAACGAGGAGCAGAAGGAAATGATAAGCGGTTTTCAGCAAGGTATTCTCTGCAAGCACTAAAATTATAGGTAATAGATAGTTTTGTGATAAGATAATTTGTAACAAGCAACAAGTAACAAAATTAAATAAAGTGCAACAAGGTGTCCCAATCCTTTTTGTAGCAAAAGACAAGCCTGGGCAAACTCTTATATAGAAGAAAGTGCTCCCGAGGACACATGGGAATTATCGTAAAGCTAGTTTTCATCACGTTCATATGATTCACATTCGGTACTTTGATAATTTGGTATGTGGGTGGACCGGTGCTTGGGTACTGTCCTTACTTGGACAAGCATCCCACTTATGATTAACCTCTATTGCAAGCATCCGCAACTACAACAAAACTATTAAGGTAAACCTAACCATAGCATGAAACGTATGGATCCAAATCAGCCCCTTACGAAGCAACGCATAAACTAGGGTTTAAGCTTCTATCACTCTAGCAACCCATCATATACTTATTACTTCCCAATGCCTTCCTCTAAGCCCAAATAATGGTGAAGTGTCATGTAGTCGACGTTCACATAACACCACTAGAGGAGAGACAACATACATCTCATCAAAATATCGAACGAATACCAAATTCACATGACTACTACTAGCAAGACTTCTCCCATGTCCTCAGGAACAAACGTAACTACTCACAAAGCATATTCATGTTCATAATCAGAGGGGTATTAATGTGCATATAGGATCTGAACATATGATCTTCCACCAAGTAAACCAACTAGCATCAACTACAAGGAGTAATCAACACTACTAGCAACCTACAGGTACCAATCCCAGACTTAGAGACAAGAATTGGATACAAGAGATGAACTAGGGTTTGAGAGGAGATGGTGCTGGTGAAGATGTTGATGGAGATTGACCCCCTCCCGATGAGAGGATCGTTGGTGATGATGATGGTGATGATTTCCCCCTCCCGGAGGGAAGTTTCCCCGGCAGAACAACTCCGCCGGAGCCCTAGATTTGTTCCGCCAAGGTTCCGCCTCGTGGCGGCGGAATCTCGTCCCGAAAGCTTGCTTATGATTTTTTTCCTCAACGAAAGATTCCATATAGTAGAAGATGGGCATCGGAGGGCCACCAGGGGGCCCACGAGGCAGGGGCGTGCCCCCCACCCTCGTGGCTGGTGAGTGGCCCCCTCTGCTACTTCTTGCGCTCAGTATTTTTTATATATTCTGAAAATAACTTCCGTGAAGTTTCAGGACTTTTGGAGCTGTGCAGAATAGGTCTCTAATATTTGCTCCTTTCCTAGCCCAGAATCCCAGCTGTCGGCATTCTCCCTCTTTATGTAAACCTTGTAAAATAAGAGAGAATAGGCATAAGTATTGTGACATAATGTGTAATAACATCCCATAATGCAATAAATATCGATATAAAAGCATGATGCAAAATGGACATATCAACTCCCCCAAGCTTAGACCTCGCTTGTCCTCAAGCGAAAGCCGAAATCAAAAAATATGTCCACATGTTTAGAGATAGAGGTGTCGATAAAAATAAAATACGGACATGAGAGCATCATGATCATTCTTAGAACAACAGCTTATATAATTATTGTCATATGATCTCTTATGCTAGAGTAACAATTCAATCACAATTTCAAGTATGAATCATAAACTTCATTAAAAACTAACAAACTATAATCTCAGTCATTGAAGCAATTGCAATTTATCATAACATAGGAAAGAGTCAATATAAGAGCTTTTCAGCAAGTCCACATACTCAACCATCTTTTAGTCTTTCACAATTGCTAACACTCACGCAATATTTATGGGTATGAAGTCTTAATCGGACACAGAGAAAGATAGGGGCTTATAGTTTTGCCTCCCAACGTTTTACCTCAAGGGTAATGTCAACAATAATAGTTCATGAAAACTCACATCCAATTAGCCATATATACCAGGATCTTTCCAACGTATTGTGCTTTCC